GTCGTCTTCGGGCCGGGGGGGGGGGGGGGGGCCAGCCGATGAATGAGTCCCGTTTTTCAGGATTGTCACGAGACTCGCTCCAGCGATGCGGCCGCTGAGTCAAGCTTTCCCTGAAAGGCGCAGGAAGTGGACACATCTCTTTATGCTGTCACCAACTTAAGAACAACTTTAAAGACACACCGGAGGTGACTTTGTGCTTCACACCGTGCAATAAACCTTTGGCGAAGACAGATGATAAGATCACGATGTTTTTACACGTTGCCCAGTGCAAGTCAGCAATTTTTGTTTACCGTCACATCCGCATCCTGCACCAATCGGCGTCGGCGCAGCTCCTCCATCCTTTCGCACACGTCGCTGAGGGAGGTGCCGTAATAGCGAGAATACTCCTGGGCCAGATCATCAAGACTCCCCACCGAGCCATCCTGAAAGAACAAGCAAATCGGTGCCAACAATGAGCGCTGCGCTGACAAGTCATTGTTTTGAAAAGAAGCGTCACCAACCGGCGAGAAGTGCAGAGATAAAAGCTCATTGTCTGACCACCTGACGCCTGTGTGACGCAGCGATGACGCGCGCTACGCTCTCTTGAGCACTCAGCATTTTAAAAAAAAGCACCATCACATGGGCTCCTCCATGGTCAAACTTTGTGAAGTTTCATGTCAAACTAAACATAAAGTGAATGGCACGTTGCGTAGGTTAAAAACAACCCAATAGCTTCGCCTTTCAGTCCACTAGCGTCATGCTGACACTAAACAGCATCTGTGTTGCGGCGCTATTGACGCGGCTCACTGTCGTGTATTCTTTATCCTCTGCAAAGAATGACTAATATTAGTGCAGTATTGATAAGGTGAGAAAAGTTGACACATCTCAAAGAAATGTTGAAAATGTTCCTAAAGTCAGTGTGAGTTCTTTGTGTGTGTGTGTGTGTGTGTTTTTTTTAATCCTCCATTTCAGAGTGGATGTTCCCTTTTGTCAGAACTCAACGAAAGGTCTTCCGTTAAAATTGTCTGTCATTGGTTTAATAGAAATTTTATGTGTAGAAAGTACGAGTGGTATCGGTTACTTGGTATCGTATCGGAGTGTTCTCAAGAGAGGAGAGTCGTACCGGTATCGGTTTAAAAAAAAAAAAAAGTGGTATTAAACATCCCTAGTCAATACAGTAATTAACTTGAGCTACTCTTTTTCGAGTGACTGTTTGCATGAATGAGTGAGAAAAGTCATTGGCCCTCAGGGGCCACGTGAATCTTTTGTGTGTTCGTGAGGTGCTGAGAAATGTGACACCATGCGCTCCTTTTCAAGCCTTCTGTGGTCCATGCGTCACACTGTACTTATTTTTTTGGCTTGCGCACCATTCATTTGCCCAAGAAAATACAGAGTCCTTTTCGTGGTTTTGCCATATCTAGGTCACTGGAGCCGTGTTTACATTTATTAGCGCTTGTCATGTGGGCTGTGTGACAAAGGACTGTTTATGTGTCCATGTTTTTGATTTTCAAGGTCGTCTTCTGGCCTGGGGGGTGGGGAGGGGGCAGCCGATGAATGAGTCCCGTTTTTCAGGATTGTCACGAGACTCGCGGCGAGAACTTTTGCTCAGTTGCCTTATTTGCATGTCATAATAACCGTCCACAATAACGCCTGGGAGGTATTGGGTCTGACGGGGGGGGGGCCTCTCCGAGTGGGGAGTTCTTCCAAAAACTTTGAGGGAAGGGAGGCTGATGAGGAGCATTTACATTTTTGATGGGGATAGCCGGAAGCTGTGACCAGCGTGACGTTTAACAGCAAACCAGAGCAGTGTTGTTTTTGGCAGCTATCTGAATTTTAGTCTTTTGGACAATATAGAACCTTTTTAGTTTTAGCCACATTTTAGCCATTTCTACGTGTGAGAGTTTTAGTCAATGAAAATGGATGGAGAGAATCACAAATACACATCATCACGTGTTTCACACAATTTTTTGACAAAACAGTACGATCATGTGAAGAAAATTGGCTAGCCTTAATCATGAAGACTGCCACAAAACAAGCTAAACAAAAATACGTTTCAATAGCTTATCAACCAATGACTGACACCTCCCTGCATGTTTGACACATCAAAGTAATACAAATAAAGCACTTATTTGACGTAAGCACAGCAAAGCTAACTTTAGCCTGGAGCTAGCTAGCATTTGCTCCAGGAGTGATGTGGAAAACGTCGAGTTTACAATGAAATTCATCACAAGCCGATTGTGATGTAACATTATGGGCTCTAATTTCATTGACATGCGCAAGTGAGCTCGGTGTAAAAACCGGCGCATCTTCATTTTCGCACCGGGGCAAGTCTAGTGGTAAACATGGTAAATATTTGGGAATTTGGTAGACCATGTTGTACCTTTTTGGACATTCAGGTAGAGCGAGGGCATTTTTTATTACAGCCCTCTGGTGCACCTGACATTTTTGGTGAACAGAAAGGAGACTAGAGATTAGACCAGACAAAAGCAGGTCTAAATTGCGGCGCAGGTGGTGTAACAGGCTCTGCGCTCCACCGATGTTTGATTGATGTCATCGTATTTCATTCATAAATATGACAACAGCGTGCATCAATCCCTCTGAATCATTACAGAAAGCAATGAATTGAATTAATAATTATTATTGTCATCATCTTTTAAATACCTTGAAAAGGACCTCCCTGACCGCGGCATAACTATCAGACATGAAGGCACGATCGGGAGAGGAAAGCCGTCTCCAAGTGCCCACTTCACAACGGACTTTACATCATCCACATCTTCTTGCAGTTCCTTTTAAATGTACTTTGCATGCACCAATCTCATGTACGGACTTTGTTTTTCCGCCATGCAGATCGCGTGCCTCTGCCCTTCGTAAACTTGAACCTTTCTAACCCACCCCTAACCCCCCCCCGTGTTCATTCATTCACTGACTACAACAAAATTAGGGCTTTATCGGAACAATTTTCCATTTTCAACCTCTGGACCACATTCCAACGCATTCACAAGAAAACGACGACAACAAAATAAGCCGAAAATAAACTTACCACAAACCGGCATCCACTCGTTAACTGCTCTTCATCTTCCCTGCTGCTCTGCATTGAAACTTCAGCTAGAGTGCAGCGAGTGGAGGACAATGAGCTGAAAGGGGAGGAGTGTGTGTGTGTGTGTGTGTGTGTGTGTGTGTGTGTGTGTGCGTGTGTGTGATAGACATAGCTGTGGGAAGGCAACGTTGGGTGGGGCTGCTCCCTTTCCAGCTGCAGCCCCGCAGAGACGGGCCTGACTCACATGTGCAAATAAACCACTGCTTCACCACAGTATACTGTATTCTTTCTGTCCGTGTGCGCGCTGTGTCGCGGGCCGATGTGGGTTAATGCGTGCAGTGAGAGCACAGCCATGTGTCGCGGCTGACTGTCGACCACTTACGACTCCCTCGGTTGGTGTAAAACGTTCTCATTTTTGACCCTGCGCGTGAAACAGTCACTGAGACAGGAAGTGCTCAGACCCGCTATTAAAGTGAGACGACTATTTACGTAGACTTCGTTAAAGACAGTGGGCGTGTGTGTCGAAACATGGCAAAAAATACTGGTAGTTCATTTCAATTCAGCTAATGTTAGATCTTTTCTTACTGTGTTGTAGGACTAGGAGTACGTATTCTGTAAATCAATATAAAAATGGTCAAAAAAGGGTGAACACAATAGCCATAAATATAAAAAGCAAGGTCTGGCCGATATGGATTTTTTTTGCCAACCTGGAACTCAGCCAGTTAATTAAAAAAAAAAAACGCATTAAATGTTTTTTTCCCCCACCAATGCATTTCAATGGATGTCAGTTACTTGAGAGAGAGCTGAAAAGTTGCTGTTTTTACGTGACTTGTACACTTTTTGGGGGATGGACCCACAACGATGCAGGATGCCAAAAAGACACGGCCCCCTCCTAAAAAAAACATGACCGTGCTGCACTGGTGATCTAACCTCCTCAGGGTACTTTTACATTCCATTACCAGTCACCTGGGCCATTTTTCTAAGTAATTCCACCACTGAGCTGTTTCGGAGTGGTCGTAATACATTCCTGGAAAAGCAATTACTTTTCGAAAATAAATACATACAATCTATGTCTTGCGATACACCATGTGATTTTCAAAAAGCCCTTAGGAATATATTATTCCAATCTACGTCATGTAACTGATTCAATTGTTCATCATGATCGTTTCAGGCTTCTACAGAGCTTGATGATGAGCTGATGGTTTGAATCAGGAGTGATGAAGTAGAGAGAGATCGAAAACAGGGCACGACATGGCTCTTGAGGAACCGGAGTTCCCCACCCCTGCCATACCTCATGACATATTAGAATTCATGTCTTACTATGCAGCATGTCATTTATGTGTGAAATAAAAATATCTTATCATCAACAAATCAGGATCATAAGTGTATAAATGATTAAATGATATCTGACTAATGTATATACACTATAACATTGAATAAACACCCCATAAACAGATTTTAATGACAAAAAAATAAAATGGTGACTATATATATCTTACTTATACTTCCTGATAATCATGCGCACGTTTGAATTTTAAATCCATGAAGCTGAACACGACATGGAGGCTGTACACCAGCAGGTGGCAGCAAATAGTATCTTTCAGTCAACTGAACGACCACCGCTCCATTTCCCAGGCATCAAGAAGAAGGGAAAATGTCAGTGTACACAGAGTGGTATCATACTGACGGACCTTTAACCAAGCATGCAGTGTGAGTAAGTACAGTATTAGGTGTTGACCTGGATGGCCCAAGATTGTGATTAACTTTTCCATTAAAGCCCTTTGACCTCGGCCCTCTAATCTTAACCCCGGACCGTAAACGGGGCAACAACGGGGAGCAACAACAGCGGTCCTCGGATAGGCGGCAGATTATGTTGATCTGCAGATGTCTTCGGGGAGGTCAATGGTGGTAAAGACTTTACGGTGCACCCGTCGCCATGGGTGGGCCACGGGGGGGGCGGTCACGACCACCCAGTAAGATGCTTGTGTACCCCCACTTGAGGCATAGATCTCTGAAAACTTTTTTTTAAATTTATGTTATCAGAGTAGCTATTTTGTGTTAAGAAATACTAGTGTGTTTTTTTTTTTTTTTTTATCACAAAGACATTCCAAATATAAAGAATGATGTAATGTTTTTTTGATGGTTGGCCAGTCTAATCTGCAACGAGCTGACTGAAAATAATCCTTTTGACATTCAAAATAAAAACGGTTTCTCTCTTGTTTTTGTATTTCTGCTGCGCACATCACCAAGACCGGAGTGGACCTTTCAGCGCCATATTCGTAAAATGGTGTCACAATTAGAGCTGAACGATTCAGAAAAAAATAATATGATAGTGATTTGTTTTCCCCTCAAGACTGCGATTTAATATGCCATTACTTTTTTTCTCGGTTCTCTTCCCATGTACTT